ATTTCGGAAAGACTAATACACTTACAGACAAAATGGACAAACAACCCTCACAACTGGACCATACTGAATCCCCTTTGCCTAACAAGACGGGCAAAACCGTTTTCGTACCCCAACAGATACTTTACTAGAACACCTACAAACGCAACTGAACTAACGACTAAGACCTGTTTGTTTTGTGGGGCAAAAATTTTTTATTTTTTTTTGTTACTGATTGAATTATACCAGTGTTAGGAATAGGACTTAATTTTAGAATAAGCTAAGCTAAGACATATATGTACTACTCAAGGGCAGAAAGACCGATTGGGTCGATAGCCTTTTTCTATAGGAAGTAAAGATTATTTATATATTATATATATGGTAATATTTTGATCTCAGAAACCATTCCTCATCTTCAGACGATTTACTAGTCTATTACACTCATAATAGAATAAGTAAGTCCCCTTCGTATTTGATAGCTAGTAATAAAGCTACCTTTCAATATATTGTTTAACCAGAAGTACCTTACTGAAATTCACTTTCATTGTCAATTGTCATCAAAATTTTCGTTCACATACTCAAAATCCCCAGTACATTCGCCCCATTCATACATAAATAAAAATTAATAATTAATAATCAACTCTCAAAATGCAATGTCCACCTCCTCAGACAGAATGCGTTCACGTCGATATTACGGTACTGCCATCAGGCCCACCCCCAGCAGAACCCTTCGAACCCACCATCCCACGTAAACTGTTAGCCATTTTGAACAAGTACAAGTACAATTGGAGATTGGAACAACTTGCAAAACCCAAAATACAACGTCATAAGTACCAATCCAAACCTGAAGGAGAAATTCCTCCATCCAAACTTCCACCAAAGCTGAGCGATGAAATTAAATTTTATGCCGATCAACTGGCGAAGCCTAAGCTACTGTAAGTACTTTCCAGTTAAAAAAAATCTAGAATAATTTCAAAGTTACATATTATGAATTGTAAATATTTTAGGAACCTGTACGTTAATCGGAGATTATATGGCGGTCACACCAGAAGCATAATGAAGAAGTACAACAAAAATATAGGCAAAGCATGGGATTCCATTTACAATTATTACAAGAAAAAGGAACGAGACCGAAAACTCAGGTGACTAATCAATTTTTATTGGACGACGAACACATTGGTCATACGCACCCACATGATTATCCATTAATAGAAGTTACTTAGTATTCTTTTAGTTCTGAGACAATCTGTATGGACAGGTGATAAATATTCATAATCATAGTCATATTTACAAAATTAAAGAGCAGATTTAAGAGAAATATAAAAAGTTGAGGCTAATTTATAAAACAATTTGAGCGAAAAATTTAGACAAAGGGCGTAATCGTTTGCTCCAGAATGTTATATTAATATATTCGGATTAATCTTATATTGATTATTTACATATTTAAAATATGCATTTGTACATAAATTTTTTTTTCGTGGAAAGCACTTAATAGAATTTAAAAAATTACATTTTTACTTTCTGACTTAAGCAGTTTAGACGCCTTTCAAATCCAAATTGATATTTCTATTCAGGGGCTATTCAGAAATTAAATTTAATACAGCGACAACAAGACTTATTAGCTGAAATTTTAAGAAAACTGATCACACCTCACAATGCTTCATGAATTGCTAGAAAGCGGTGAAAGAAGAAATTTTCTCAGAGCCAATGAGTAAATAATTTTGGCATTGAGTGAACGAAAGAGAAATACTTATTTTTCATTATTATTATCAATTTCAGTACATTCAAAACGGTACAAAACATTTCCTAAAAATGTATTACATCTTGATTTTCTTCGATATTTCTACAAGTTACTTTCGTCATTTGAAGTTAGTAGGTGCTTTCATTTTGTTGTATTTTGAAAATACATATTATTTCAGAAGGTTTGCAACTTACTATTTCAACAAATGGACAAACACATAGTACTTTAGCGGAAATATTGCATTTGCGACACATTGTTTATGTGCAAGTTTACATTTCCTTATGCTGTATGTATTGATAATTTAGAAACAAAAATGGTTTAATCGACAAAAATGACTTGTACTACAGATTCACAATATTAAGCTGTAAAATCAAAATTAAATTAGATTATATTAATAAATTATTATAGGCTGTATCAGGAGGCCAAGTGATCAACTATTGTTCCGTATCGTTTACACATAGATTATTAGGCATATGGCTTTCTTTCTTATACTTAGAATAGTTTGCCCTCTTAACAAGTCAAACAATTTTGAAGATTTTACTATGTAAGTGCGTTTTCAACATAAAATCAATCTAAAATAATTCTGACGGATATGATCGACATATAATCAACATAATTGAAACATTCATCAGAAAAATCTCAAGTTCATCCGAGTTCAATGGGATTTAAATTTAGGATATGTAGGGTACGAGGGTTATGAGGGATGTCGTTCGAAATATGTATTTGTCACTCGATGGAAAGCTCTTAACCAGCACATTACTATAGGAATTGTATTCACTATGGTCTTTTTGGCACATTTTATATACATACATTTCAATAGAACTTATAAATCAATCTAACTCCTAACAACCTCATATTTTAATCGTTAATGTATAGTTTTCTAAAGAAATCCCAATCCAAAAAAAGAGGCACCTAAAGACTGTTTCAACCTTTTGATTAGCTAATTGCAGACTCCACTAAGGAATTTTATTTTCATTCAATAAGTAACTTAAATACTTTAACAACAAAGAATCTAATTATTTAAGTGACGACGTTTTGTCAGATAGCGAAAATTTTCAAATTTTTATTAGTATTTCGGGCTAAATATGACAAACGCACATTGTTAAATTTGCTACTGTCCTACGTATAATGAAATCAATAAAATCAAAATATTGATTGGTTATAAAATGGAAGGCTACTCTGAATAGGAGCATTGCTATTTTTAAAGAGCGAAAGAAGCATGTTCTCAACATAACTTCTGAGTTGACTGCTATGTTAATAGTTAGATTAAAAATTCACCACAAATTAGTTACAATGTCGAAGTAAAATAATCAGATAGACTAGTGTTCAGTCATATTCGCATGCGGAATGATTTAGGTTTCTTAGAAAGAAATTCGAGATAAACCAAGAATTGAGAAATAGATTTTACGAAAATTTCATACAAAACTGACAAGTATTTTTCTTAACAACACAAAACACTAATCCCCAAAACCTTCTATTTATCAAATATAACTACTGATATTTTGATACTTAATTTAAGACAACTTCGACAAAAAAGGAAAACGAAAAGCAAAAAGCCCGTAGTAGACCAGACAATAATTGATAACTTGGCTAAACCAAAGCCGGTCTTTCAACCAGAGCCTGCCAAGGTTAGTTATTGAATTTATATGTAGTTTGTTGTCACTTATTTGTATAACAGCCTTATATTAATACAGTTTTATGGTTTTCAGAAGCCTTCGAAGGTATTTTCAAATTTTGATCGGCTTGATGAACTCGCGTCACCTAAACCTAGTCACCTAGAACCTCCCAAAAGTCTTGAGGTAAGTTCAAATTAAGTCGATTTTTATTTGCAATCGCCCTCAGCCTGTAACATACGCTTTGTTTCTGGACAACAATTTGCTAAAATTGCAAGCAATATTTGCAGTTTTCAGTGCCAAAAATTTAGGAAACAATTTCAAAATTTGACATTTACAAAATGTAACAATCTAGCTTATTGGTAAATCAAACTACAATTCAGGAAAATGTGAGACAGTTTTATTCACAAATATTTTAGAACCTTAATATTAACGTTAATAAATAATGTTCAAATTTCCATTACTTCACAACACATAACATTTGCCTAAGATTGCCTAAGAAAACGGCAAGTTAAGTTTCCTGATAATGAGAGCTCAGAAGAAGCAACAAAAGACTTTCCTTCTACTAATTTAATTAATCAAAAAGACCCTTTTTACGTTTTATATTTCGCAGCGCTGGTGTTTGAGCTCAGTAATACTAAAAAAATATAAATGGTTGCCTTTTAAACAGCATTCAATTCATTCTTAGAACATTTAATAAATGGTGAATTGCGTATTTGCTTGCTTAAACTTAGCTTTCTCGGCCAACAAGGTTTCAGTTTTGTGTTTCAACTCAAATTTCAAAAAGGTTAGTTATAGAATTAAATTTTTTTAACATTTAAGTAATTTTATAATGTATATTCGCATTCTGTAGTTTTATTTCATTGACGCCTCCACACACGAGACGAATATGCTTTATCAATTGTTGAATATTCATTCTGAACCTGGAACTAAATTTTAACCGAAATTGATTCGTGACGCAGATCATTCAGAGTGCAGAATAGGGCTGCTAAATGTCGCAAACTATATAATGTAAAAACTTTAAGATTTTATTAAAATATTTAATGAAAGTTTTGCATAATTGATAAATTTGTTTATTTGAAATTAAAAAGTTTGGTAAAAAATGCTTTGTTCCAGCTATGTGGAAGTCTACCAATCGTGCATTCATATAATAATTAGCTATTTACAAACATTTTAGTGAATAGTGTCAAATTTTTTCCTATGCTGATATAACGATTTAAGATCAGCACCATTATAGAATTTTTAACTGTAAACACATAGGATGCGACCCTGTCAACGCGAGCTTTGAGAAATCTGCCAGACATAAACCGGGAGGTTTTCCATGTCCTATCCTTATATCCTAACCAAAACCCATACATCATTTTCCTATATTCTCCCCATGAGGAAACCACCTTAAATGTTTTCTTTGTTCCTTCGTACAACATCATGAATATGTCCTTATTAAATGAGTGCGCAGTTTCAAGCTCCCCGATCGGATCTCCGGGGGAACAAATAAGAATGAAAACATGAATAACAGGAAACTGCAAACAAAGCAAATTAAGAAAATGTGTACATGAAATGTGAAGACAATGGCGCGAGCTGCTAAAGTTCAGAATGCGCTGTTGGTGATGTGGAGATTGAATATATATATCATGGAAGTGAGCGAGATGAGTTGGTGCGGCTCCAGTTACTGCGAAATGGAGGGTTATAGAGTATACTATTGCGGAACAACTAATAAGAAGGTACGAGCACGGAGTGGGACTGATTATCAGAAAGAATGTTGCTGGACACGTCACTAATTTTGTGCCTATCAACGAAAGAGTCATGCTCCTACCATTGAATACGTCACGAGTGAACACCAACATAATACACCACAGTATATGCGCCTACCACTAATCACCATAAAGAGAAAGTAGAATAATTTTACTCTCAGAATAAGGATCCTATAAAGAAACTCTCTAATCAAGAAATCCTTATATCAATGGGTGACTTCAACGCCAAAATAGGCAAAAAAGAGAAGGGCAACACATTGGACCTTACGGAGTTGGCGTTAGAAACATGAGGGATAAACTTTCAGTGTATTTGCATCCGAACATTACTTAGTAATAACAAACACCTTCTATGAGCTACCAGGCAGATGACTATACACCTGGACTTCTCCCAGAGACGACGAAAAAAACCATACTATCCGAAGCCAGATAGATTATATATTAATAAATCGAAGATATAGGGCAGAAAGACCGATCATCGATAGCCTTTTTCTGTAGGAAATAAAGATTATTTATATATATATATATATATCGAAGATATAGAAACAGCTTTGCAAGCGTGACAACATGCCCAAGTACAGTCGGACCACAAACCGCTTTTGAGATTAAACATAAAACAAAACAAGCAAAATATAATCTAAGGAAATTTAAGAACGACGCAATAAGAAACCACGTAAAGACGGACATCAATGACAGATACAACAGCTAATGTCAAAGATACAGAAAAGTTACAGAAAAGTTCAAAAGGAAACATGTGGAAAAACTTGTAGATAATGCAGGACAGCTGATTGTGGATAGAGAAGATATTAAAGAATTAAGCTACCATTGGTACTCTAAGGGGGAACTGCTCCAGGGTCGGATGGAGTACAATCGCTTCTTCAGGCTTCTTGACGACGAGTCAAGCTATTCCGGACTGACATGTTCAATAACATCTACAAGAAATAAATCTCTGAATTTTTAATGTTACCAAAGAGACAGGGAGCCAAGACGTGTGGTGACTACAAAACTTAAAATAGTCTTATGAGTCACATGCTAAAGCTCTTCCTCAAAATCGTTCATCAAAGAATCTTTAAGATCTGCGAGGAAATGGTGTCACATACACAGTTTGGATTTATGAAGGGCATGGGTACAAGAGATGCACTTTTCTGTCAACAAGTATTGTTCCAGCGCTGTAGGGATATTAACTATTATATTTTGGTTTATGGACTACCAGGCGGCGTTCGATAGGATAAAGCACGAAAAGATTATGGACGTCTCGATGAATAGGTACCGGGATGGATGATAACGATATAAGGATCCCCCGAAACCTTTACTGAATCTATCAGCGACTATTAAAAATAATATGGAAGACCACACCGACACAGTCAACATTCTTCGAGGAGGTAGGCAGGCCCAACTAATATCCTGACATCGCTCATACTTAATATCTACTCGGAGGAAATCTTTAAAGAGGCCCGCGAGAATACCGAATTCTGCTGAATGGATAACGAATGAACAACATCCGCTCCGCAGATGATACTGTGGTTTTTAATGGCAACATGAACAACTTACAAGAACTAATGAACTGAATAAAGGACATCAGCAGTAATTATGGCTGAGAAATTAACATTAGTGAAACCAAATGCGTGGTAATCAGTAGAGCAATTGGTGGAAGGTATCACTTAACGATTAACAGAAGACCAATAGTCAGAGTAACACAGTTCACTTATTTGGAAATCATGATCAATGTTAATTGGGACCACTCACAGGAGATCAGGTATAGAATAGAGAAAGCAGGGATTGCCTTCAACCAAATGGCTAAACTGTTTAAAAGTCACAACCTCCACATCGAAATCAAAATCAGACTCCTCCAATGCTGTATTGTCCCAAACCTTTTCTATGTGATGGTCATGGATATTAACCGAGGCAACGCAAAAAAAAAACTCGAAGCCTTCGAAATGGGGCTTTTCAGGAGGATGCTGAGAATGTCATGGGCGGACAGAGTGGCCAACAGAGCAGTGATGAACACAATGAGGAAGGACTTGGAAGTAATGAACCCCATTAAGAGAAGAAAACTTGACTGCCTCGGACATATTATGAGGAACGAAAGCAAATATCAACTTTTAAAATCCGTCCTCCAAAGGAAAGTTTATGGCAGAAGACCACCAGGAAGAAGGAGAATATCATGGCTTAAAAACTTAAGAACGTCGTTCCCAAAAACTACTACCGAACTATTTAACGTAGCCGTGGACAAAGTCATCAGATCCAGGATCATTGCCAATATTAGGAACTATAGGTATTTCAAGAAGAAGAAACACATAGAAGTTTGCTCTTTATTTGCCCAAATTGATGAAATTGGATGAAACCGAGCGAGTCCTTCTACAGTACTGTCTGTTCCCAAATTAATTAAAATCAGTCATAGAACCACCCAGAAAAAATTCTACTATTTCAGCGTCTATTCAGCAGCATAAAGAAATCGATCACGTTATTTAAACTTTCAATTTCTGGAATGAAATATACGTTTAATGGCGAATTATAATATAAAATATACGTTTAATAGCTTGTAGCACAAAAATCCAAAGCGCAAACGAACTGATGCAGAAAAGAGTTCATACTTTTGACATGTAAAAAGTTCAATACCTAAATATAATCAAAATCAGCGTTCCATACATTTTCAATTCTCATATAATTGGTTCTATTTATAATGAGATAATATTTTTTAGATTAACCCCCTTGCCTTAACTTACGAACCTACAGAAAACATTCTGAAGCTGTCAAAACTGCCTGCCAGGTTGTTAAACTTGCCTCCACCTCTTGAACCAGGGAAAGTACGAAGAAGTGCTCTACGATACAAAGGTACTAATCTTCACGAGAAAAAAGAATACGTAAACAGCGTCACTGTTATACAAGTCGATTTCTGCCTGATAAGACACACATAAGTTCACCCACTCACTAATGGCTTATTAACAATACTTTTACGAAATTTCAGTACAACACAACTTTTCGACTTACTGTAAAAGAGTATGAAAATCTTACCCACTTCAGTTACTTTTCTCTTAAAGCAAATTTAGGTCAATACATTCTAACTAGCACCCTCCTTATAAAATTATTTCAGCATCTCCGCGAATCGAAGCGATGGCACAACCGAAGAAAAGCAGTGAAAAATCCAAGGAAGATGAAGACGTTGATCCGTGGGCCATTTCGAAAAATGCTTTGAAATACAAACCAACACCGAGAATTTTAGAATTGGCTAAACCAGTGGAAAGAGACTAACGTTTAATTGTAATAGGAAAAAATTCGTTTAGAAACTCTTAAGGAAAAAGTGTAAAACAATGGAACTAAATAAATATTTGTGTCTTGCCGTACTTTTATGCTGCAATTTATTTTCTAACTAAGTAAAATTGATGTATTTCTACGAAAGATCAAGCCAATGCACGGATGCGTGTAGATGCTTTACGTGATTTCAGCAGTTCTCTGAAACTCAGTGGTTTTGATTTATTAAGATTTAATTTTTCGACTTAGTTAAGATGGGATGAAAGAAGCATATGGGCGGTTTAATCCAAACCCACGGTCAATGTAGAATTGAGAATATAGGAATCCTGTCAGGTGCGTATCGGATTTTGTCGCATTTATTTAATAATTAATATCCAACAAATCAAAGGTGGCTTAAGAATAAACTGAAATTGTTTGACAATATGTTTAATACGTTTGTAGTAAATGATTGCTAAATGTTCGCAAAGTGGTAAAGCTAAGAGCTCCAAATATTCCCGGGCTAATATCCAGAATATCCAACTTTCCACTGAGAATATTCAGAACACCAATCAAACAATTTAACATTATTACAATAAATATATTTGTGGGCTATCAATATTTCAATGAAAAATTTGAGGAAAACGTATTTTTTGTTGTAATGTAATGAATATGTAGCTTCGCCACCACTGCATGGCACCGTCTTGCCACCTACATATTCTGGTTGCATGGCAGTTTTTTACACTTATTTTGCAGTAACATTTATCAGCAACATTGTTGCTGAAGTAATTTCATTCACAGTCCAAATCAGGCTCGCATTTCACTTACATGGATGGATAAAACTTATGTTTATGTATGCCAAACGAGTGGTTTTTGGGGAAGTGCATTTGGGATACATTAACAGAATTTACAAAAATTGCGTAATAAATTGGTTTTCAATACACGAGTATCAACGAAAAAGGAGCGATATGAATAGCTACTTGAGTTACAGCAGCAGAAATAACACATTTAATGATAATTATCTATAACAATTAATTAAGGAACATAAGATAGTTGGTGAGCGGGCGTCAATTTAAAACACTGCAGGAAATATACTCGTATACCTTCATATAAAAGAAATTAATATTTCATTTTTCATCTCATCTTTGGATCAACCTATATACAGGGTGTCCCATTAGTATAAACTTCTTTGTTTGCATCTAAACGGTTAGCGATGGGTAAAAGATTCAAATATTCTTAGAAAAGACTCCTAAAAGGAGTCCTACCAAAATCAACTGAGGACCTGTTTTTTAAATATCAAATCAATATGTTCTCTTCATTTCGCAATTCTGTATTAATTTTGCAATGATTTGATTCCCTGTGATCAATCATTTGTTCTTATGGTTGGTAGGAAATTTTAATTTTATTGCAAAAAGTGACATTTGCAAAGGGTATTTTGGAACTTAATATTACAGAAACCCTATAAGAAACCTGCTTTTATTCGGGTTTTAGAAGGGAACGTCTTTTTATATTTCTTACTTCAAAGCTTCATTAACCACTCTTTCCGCCTTCCAACATTTTTTTACTTTATTCTTGAGCCAAATTCAGATTTTCTGGCCTCGTATACGATTCAAAAAAATGTAATATCTAATGGTTGCATTTAAGATTTTGGACCAAGCAGAACATTTTTCTGATGAAGAATAACTGTTTTTCGTAAAATTTATAATAACAAAGTTTTCCATATGGTGCGAACTTAAGTAGACACATATGTATATGTATATATATATACATATATGTATAACCTTATCTTATCTCTGTTTTATCTCATTTTTACTGCTTGACTTTGTCCATTTCTCAAATTTTAAGAGAAACAAAGATAATAAATAGCAAAAAGAATAATTGGTAAAAGTATATAGTAATTTTCTAGTCTTGTAGAAACTGTCCCAACTGGAAAAATGATATGAACAAGAACAGAACATCAACATAAATACAATGGAAAAGTTCCAGAAAATACTTTTACCAATTAATTTTGTGCATGTCAAATAATGGTGAGAAAAGTTCGTATTTTGTACACTAGATTAGATGCATATGGTCTGTAGATAGGATAATTGCGCAAAGATATTTACAAATGATAATGTAAGAATTTCTTTATCAATTAAAGTTGGTTTAACGGCCATAAGTTAAATAAAATATAATCTGATTGTCAGACAATATTATCTTTATAAAGAAACCACTAAAATATATTAGTGTACCACCTCCAAACATCTTAAGACTTTAAAAAATTATTTTATTTGAGCTTGAAGGTGCTTTTTGAGAAGAACCGCACGTAACCCAACATGGTAGAAACCGACATCCGACGAAGAAATGGAGCTTTCACTCTCCATACCGTAAAAATGCTAAAGTATTTTTAGCTATCATTTTAAATATCGAATTCCATATTTCGTTTTCAGCTGGCTCAAATAAAGTTTTCCTAAATGAACATTTGCTCAAGTTTATTTAAATTTCTAAATAGAAAATCAACTAGAAATTATTATAACACCAGTAGTGAAATTTGCAATTCTAATAGCTGAACGCTTTAGCAATCTTCCTTGAAACCGATTAGCAAACATACCTTTGCTATTGTTCCAGAACTATGCATTTTGTTCGGCGCAACAAACATAAGTTATTCTATAATATTTCATAGTACTGCGTCTAAACAACGTCAAGCCTTGTCTGGATATTAATAGCATCCTTATATTAATTTCATGAATTATTTGATGCCCTACCCATCTAACTACCGGGTTGGATAGACCACGTTTATAAACTTAGAAATTTATTGCTAAGCAACTTTATTTTGCAAGATCTTCAATCATTTCATGTATGACTAATAGTAAATTGCTGAATCCGAAAAGTGGGCTGGATGTTTTGACAATTGTTTATTTATTTCAAGTTTGAAATACCTAAAAAAATTCTGTACGCATATGGGAATATTCTTTTAATAATAATTTTAACATTTGCTTCTTAATGATATGCAAATACCATGCACCGGAAATTTAACGCATTGCTTAAATACTCCCTAATACTTCTATACTTTGAACAAAATTCAGTTACAAGATCAGCAAAAAATGTAATAAATATATTCTACAGCGTGTTTAAATAGTTGCATGTTTTCTTGGTCAAAGTATCCGTCTGCGAGCAAAATCGGGTAGCTCAGACTAAAAAGGTCGGTGTTCGAGTTTCATGTCTTCTGAGTAATTTTAATTTATATTGTCAATCCCCTGTTTATTTGGAGCCAGTTGAGGGATTTTTTTTTATTACGTATAAATGTACAAACAAAACTTTATTACAAGCTTAAAGCTGTATGGTCATAATGGAATGGAGTACGTGACCGGTCATAAAGAAATGAATATTTATCGAATGGCTCAAAATAAATAGATGACTTAAGATTCAAACTACTCAGAAGACATGAGGCTATAAATAACATTGTATACTTTTTGTCTCTTTGAGCTACGCCATATTGCACGCAGAAATATTTATGCCGTGATCAAGAACACCCTGTTTGTTTAATTTTCTTTTTGCTTATCTTATAATTTAAAATTTGTCTGAAAATGGAGCTATGATTCGCTATGATAATCGGATCACCGACTGATGAAATAATTGCATTCAAAATTTATTAGAAACTATTTAGGATGTGTTAAATTTTGGGCACAATGTGTTTGAGATATTGTAGATACCGGGATATTAAAGCATTATGTAAAAATTTTTAAAACCAATGCTCAAACGCATGCCACTGATGAAACAAAACATTAGACCTTTGGAGAAAAATCTATTGAATCCAATGCACTTTTTGTGAAAATGTTATAATTTCGTGGAAATGAACTGATACACTAAAAGGTGTTTTTCAAAGATTTTTTCTTAAAAAAATATTTTGTTGCTGTTTATCTATCTATCTATTTATCCAAATTTACACATGTAAAGATCTTAAAAAATGGCAAAATAATAATCACTCAGTAAACATATTACTAATAAACTAACCCAAACTAGCATAAACGAGCAATAATTTATTTGCCCCAAAAAATGTAGAAAATTTCAGCTCAACACTGCAAGCTGAAGTAGTCAGAGCTTTTGCTGTTTTAAGCTGCAAGTAGAAAAACAATTTAACGTGTATATGCAGTGTTTCAAGCTGCATTCCATGAGCTAATGAAAAATGGGTAGTTCTATTTAAAAAAATACACTGTGATCTTGACTCGCTTTTCTGAGACACTCTGTATCATATAAGATATTTTTAAAATATGCGCAATTTGTGCGTCAACAACTTTTATATGAAACTATTTTTCGGAAGTTCAACACCAACGGAAATAATGGACTCTCTCGCACTAAAAAAACATCCTGTATATATTTTTTTAATATAATTTTTTTGGCATGTGTTATATTCTATATCATTTGAAACTTGCATATGCAGATCGTTTATAATCTAAGCGCAATATCGTTTTTTATTTAGATAGGTACTCACCATTTAATATTAGAGATCTGTAAGTTATTTTAAGGCAAATGTTAATGAATTGTACATATTTATTTTTTTTTATTACTTATTTAATAGGTTGCACGGTTTATTTTCATGTTACTGATCCAAGTTTTATTAATTGACATTTTTTGAAATATATAAATACATTTGCTGACTAAACTGTAAAACTGGCACAGTTTGCTATCGTAATTAAGAAAATTACGAACGTATTTCGCTGTCTGCAATCTGTTAGATGAATTTTTAGATGAATTTTCAATTATACGCTCCAGTAGAATGAAATTGAGATTTCGTTGCTTAGATTGCATCAAGGTGCAATTATTGAGTGCTTCCCGTAGCGAAATTAATCACTGAACATCTATTTGTGGAAAAATTATACTTGAAGGTATCTACCGTGTTAGGAAAATGTGTAGAAATAATGGATTATTTCGAGAAATAGTCACAATTTGATTCATGTCGAAAATTTGTAAATGGAAAAGTGTCTATGACTAACATATTTCACAACACTCTTTAACCGATTCAAATAAAAGAAACTCGGGTTTACGAACTTTTTAAAGAAATATTGGATTTTCAATTGAGCTTCGTGTTAATGTAGGTTCTACCACCCTCATTTTTTTGGCACACTATCTGTTATCTGGTAGAATAAATATCTATATATATCTATATATATAATCTTTATTTCGTACAGAAAAACGCTATCGACCCAATCGGTCTTTCTGCCCTTGTTTAGTACATATGTGTCTTAGCCTAGCTTATTCTAAAATTGATTCCTATTCCTAACACTCGTATAAATTAATCAGCTATAAAAAAAGTAAAAAAAAAATAAAATTCTTGGCTTACAAAACAAACATATTCGAGTCCTTAGTTCAGTTGCGTTTGTAGGTGTTCTAGTAAAGTATCTGTTGGGGAACGAAAACGGGAGTGTTTGTGTGAGTGGAGTGTTGTGAGGCAAAGGAGATTCAGTATGGTCCAGTTGTGGGGGTTGTTTGTCGATTTGGTCTGTAAGTGTTATTAGTCTTTCCGAAATTTTTGTCATGTTTGTGCGTTCGTATAGTAGTTGGTTGGAAGGGTTGTCGGATGGTTGTTTTTACTACAAATATATTTTTAGCAATAAATCAATTAGTTTGAATCCAAATAAGGAAACCTTTGCTTTTTTGTGTTAAAAATCTACAATTTAGATAAATGTCTTGAAGTAATTACACCACTTTTGATCTTTCCTCAAACACACATATGTACCTAAAGCAAACGTAGTTTTGAAAACCACTCGAAAAATTAACATTAATATAACTCCTGTTGGAATTATTAACACAAAAAGTTTATTTTCACTTATTTGAGACGACTGAATTTCATAATTTTGATTCTATCAATATGTTCAAAACCTTTTTATATTTTAATTTCTTAGAGTCACTTTCCAAAATACATCGCCGTTATTCTAGGATACCCTGTATATAAATAGTGTGTATGGTTACTATAACGATTTAACAAAAAGCAGTGTCAATTTAATATTGTTGGACCATTGCGCGGCGCCGCCAAATGAGACAAATGGATACAGTGCACACTCTCGCGCTGCATCTCTTTCTTCCTTATTCACTAACACAGGATAACAATGGTTGCCGATGTTTTGACAAGCCAAACAGTTTTGAACTGATGACGTTCCATATCTGTGTTGACAAGTAAAGTGGGTGGATGAAGAACATTTATAATCATTAAAAGGTTCCCTGTTTCGATCTACTTTACATAAATGAGCCTTTAGATTCATATAAAGTAAGTTCAGGGTGTACACTTTGATGCTGAAAATACCAAAAGCTAGTGTCTATTTGTTTATGTTGAATTAGTTTAATTTGAAATACCGTTTTAAAGGTTTTTGGAAAGTAGGTGGTTGGGCCCCAGTCAACATGATTGGTGGTTTATTTGTATATAACCATAAGGGCGAAGTCCTGATATCAAGAGTATATCGGGATGACATAGGGAGGAATGCTGTGGATGCCTTTCGAGTAAATGTTATTCATGCAAGGCAGCAAGTTAGGTCTCCAGTTACCAATATAGCTCGCACCTCATTTTTTCATATAAAGGTATGTTATATACCCTGTAAGATAGCAAGTAACAATCACATCCCAGCATGAAGATGGTTATTGTAATGACAAACTAATCATTCAGACAATGAAATAAGTTCAATAATTTTATTTCAAAAAGTCATATCACAGTCACACCGTGTTATATCACTTTATATCCAAAAGTTGCCCTTTGACAAGTCATTGCATGCAGATAAGTCTGATTTACTCAAAGTGTTTTCACAATTTTTACAGTTTATTATATTATCAACTTATAAAGTCATATATTCGGCTTGCCCAATGTTCTGGAAAAATTATTTATTAATAGCGAAGTTGTATGAAAAATTATTTACTTTTTACTTTACCACTCATACTACCTACTTTACTACTTCTTAAGTTAAGTTTAATTTAATTAAAAATAAGTTACACATTTTCTGATTTTGAATCTACAGCTACAACATTTGAAACGAATTATTTCCAATTGGAAAACAACTTTCTTTCTCTCAAGAAGTAGAATACATATCGATTGTACAGGGTTATTGATTGAACTTTGGCCACCCCGTTTTAACATCTAATTTGGAAATTAGAGAAAAATGTTTAATACAAAAGTTGTAGATATTAACGTCTAGTTTCTTTTAAGATTAGTAATAATTGATACAAGGTGTCTCCAATTCAAGGGACATACTAAATTTACCCTTTTTTAAATGGAATGATATAATTTTTTTAAATAGGATCACCTATCTTAAAATAAACTAGATTAATTAATATTACAATTAATAACTACAACTTTTGTATGTAACACTTTGCTCTAATTTTCAAATTAGATGTTACAACGGGGGTTCAATCACCACCAACCAATAACCTTTTACCCACTTAGTGTGATTAAATTAAATAGGGATTTTTCTAAAGTGTATGAATTTCAGATTTTATTGTATTGGAGCAGCGGTTCTTAACCTGTGGGTCGCGACCCAATTTTGGGTCGCGCTAAGTCGAACCAAAAAAGTTAGTAATACACCAAATAATAAGAAATACCAACACCTCCCAGAAGAGTTATTCCCTAATACCAGTTATTCCCTAATTATGAGTATACACACGCACACACACACATAGCACAACATATATGTGTAAGGCTGGTTTTTCCGCTCTGTGTGTAATCAAAAACCATTGCCGGAACAAGTTAAATCCTGAAATAGATATAAGGTGCTCCTTGACAAGCATTCAACCGAGGTTTGAAGATCTTTCAAAATGTATTCAAGCACAAGGTTCTCATTAAAACTGTATGACTTGCAATTAACATTTAAAAGACTTAACATATGTATTTATGTTTCTTTTTTTTTAGGAATATGTTAAAATGTCAATTATTTTCAAAAAGTTATAAATATATTTTAATTTGGTCAATAGAAATTATTAAAAACACTTAATTATTAATCCAATTTTTCTTGGATCGAGAAGTACTTTTGTTTATCTTTAATATTAAAAAATAAATTAAAAATTTGTAAGTTAAAAAAATTCATCACCGTAGGATTGAAGATTTTTTAAAAATACGATCTAAAATAAAACAATGAAAAAATTTTGACTTTTTTTGGGTCGCGAAATGAACATATTTCTCAAATTTGGGTCGCGACTTAAAAGGTTAAAAAACTACTGTATTAGAGTATGTGCTTTTTTATACTCTATTGAAAGCAGGTTTAATTTAAGCTTTTCTTGATAATCTGTTAAACCCATATCTTTCAAACCTTTTGAACGATACGAGTTGAAATTTTGAGAAAGAAATATAAATGTAGTGAAACATAAAAAGTAGTGAACCTGCTCAATAATTTTCCAGTTCTTCGGAAGGTGCAAGATTAGAGTTCGTAAGTAGAAAAGATTCTGGTTTCTTAAGACTAACGTATTAAACATGAATAATAAGTGATCGGTATCTTGCGTAAGCTCAAATTTAATAAACAAATTATCGTATTTCTAAAGCGAAATTATGAGTCTTGGGTTGAAGAGTATTTTAAAAATATAAAGTTAATTATACGTTGCCGATTTTTTGTTATTAATAATAATTTATTTCCAGGTTCCCATGATTTTGATTGTGTACTATTTTAAATAGACGTTATTTAACTAAATGTATCAAATATACGAGCTTTCTTACTTCAGTGCTGAGTTTCCTGAATAATGATAAAGCAATGATCAAATATTAAAACAATATTAATCAAGCAAAATTAAGATATTTGTCCAAGCAGGCTAAGTGTATATTTTTGAACTAATTTTTTTTATCTGGATGCAATAATATGGGGATTTTTGCAACACTTTGCCAATACCATTAAAATGTATATTTCACAATATGTAAGATGTCCCATAATTATGTGCCAATATACACGATGTTCCGTAAGCACATGATCAAAAGGGTATTGCGACATTCTTTGGCTCGAAAGAAGACAATATTTTTTTAAATCGGCAGAATGATACGATGGATTTTAATGAAACTCACTGTGAATATGTTCTTATGTAAGAGTCATATTTTGATGAAGAAACCGAGTGCTTGTGTTAAATTCTTGAGTGTCTTGATATCTGATACAGAAACTACCAGAACTTTTTATTCAATAGCTGGAATAGCTGGATTATTTCTTAAGTTGATGCACTAATGCCCAGTTTCCGAACTCCAACATATTTGTTACATACGCTTATGAGTCTCATAAAATACCAAAATCACGTCTGTTGGGTTTCTCAACGTCTGTTTAAAGCTTATTGGTTCCATAAGTTATCGAATAGATATCTACTCGAAGATGGATGGATATCGGCTTCATAACGTCTGACGCAAGCGTGTAGGGTTTGTTTTTATTTTTACAACAGAGCGATTCTAACCTAACATATCCTATTCTTTTTACATAACAGCATTGCATAACAGTTTTGTTTCGTTTAACGTATAAAAATTTATTATAATTATTTAAAATGGATAATTCGAGTTCATCTTCTGATGATGAAATTATTGAACTTCTAAGTTATATTGAACGGCCAAGACGGTATCTTGAACGAGAGGACCAAATAAACAAATATGGATTCTGAATTTCGCGACAGGTTTCGTTTAACGAAACACTGTTTCAGTGTATTATTGGACCTTATTGGGAACTACCTTAAAACATATACTGTGAGAAGGAATTCATTGTCCGTTAGTGAACAGTTATGCTGAATTCAGATAAAAACCCGAGAGCTTTTACTTCAAATCTGTGGCTGTTTTTTGAAACATCTTCAAACCATATGTTTACCGACCAATCAAAATGCGTTTTTTTTGTGGCTATCCGCTTCTTTTTTACCGGTATTTCGCACCTTCCGTACTACCAGTCAAAAATGGAACATACCCTATTAAGCAGTTCCCTCTGTCGGTCGAATTAAAAAGGTACTTATCCAACGGATTGTTATGAGCTCGATATAACTTTGTCTGTCACCGTTCGGAAACCCATAAATTTTTATCGGTCTTATAACTTTATCCACTACATAGTTATGGAACCAATAAGGGCAAATGTTGAGAAACCGGGCATAAGTCTTGTTTGACATTTTTATACTCTTTCTAAAATCTGGTAGCTTCATTGTTTTTGGGCAAAAAATGATCTGTTTTCTTACCAATTAACAATTTTAGTCACTAATTAATATTTTCCATTAACAAAACATAAAATAACTTTTTGTAATATCGGAAAAGTGCTATTTTGCTAAAAACTCGCTTTTTTTGGTGGGATTTTTGAAGAACGCTATTCGGATGAAAACTCTTCCAAAGCAAGCCCGGCAATGACTTGCCCCATGCCGGACAGTTAATAATTATAAAACGGGTGACAATTAATTTATTAATTTATTATGAAGGATCATTGTCGCTTACTATATTTGCAGTTAATTCCTAAAATTGATAAATAGCAGGAAAAGAGACGTAATTTTTTTGCAAAAAGTATTAATGCTACCAGATTTTGCAAATAGCCAAAAAAATGCTGAAACTAGTTAAAGATTTTAAAGTTAGATCCTATTCATTGATTGAGGCTCTAGCATCAACTGAAAAAAAAAATAGACTCCTGCAACAAAATAAAAAGTTCTGGCAGTTTTTGTAACTTGACACTCAATAATTCACCATTTACCCCAAGCGGATGAACTCAGTTTCTTCATCAATGACAAATGAGTCGCAAAATATGTTTCAGTATTATTTTGATTATGTATACCCTGTATAAGGAAATGGTTCAAATTCAATTCAGGTATTTCCTGATTATTTTTTTGCTTAATTGCTCATACCTGGAAATGTACGCTTCGTACACAAAATATAATTTAATACTGTTTTATTTTAAATTTTTCACTCTCATAATTTTTCCATAAGTTTGCTTGTAGTTATTGTTGTGAGGCAAAGTCTGTATATTTATAAAATCAATTATTTCTTACAATGATTGCGCATTATTGTGCGGTACCGTGCATTTTTTTAAATTTCGACAAGGGGATGGCTGTAAAAAGCATTCAGGTACTTTTATAAGCTGATGAATATTATTGCCTGGAAAACCTAATATTTTGATTTCTGCCATACAAATTGAGAAATTTATGTATATTGAGAACTGAGGAAGTGAAAGAATACAATAAAAATTCTAAAACGCATATAACTTAATTGCGTTAAATTATAAAATCATATAACAGGAAAAAGTGAATGTTAACCAAAAGAGAACAAATACAATCGGCTATAAAATATAAACTATATAAATTTCTACGTTAATTAACAGTTGCAATTTTAACAGCGAGCAAATATTTGGATCGCTGCCGTGACCAAACAGAATGTAAATGCCGCCATGGTATTCGAATTCCTGCTTAAAATCATTGAAGTTATGCAGTCCTATTTTGGCAAGATATCCGAAGAGAACATTAAGAATAACTTTGTTCTAATTTACGAACTATTAGACGGTAAGTTTGTCGGTTTGAGTATTTTTTCTATCAGAAACATTTGCGACTCGGTTTGTAGAAATACTTGATTTTGGATATCCGCAAAACTCCGATACGGGCGTTTTAAAAACGTTCATTACTCAGCAAGGCATCAAGTCTGCTACCAAAGAGGAGCAAGCTCAAATCACATCTCAAGTAACTGGGCAAATTGGTTGGCGACGTGAAGGTATCAAATACCGTCGTAATGAGTTATTCTTGGACGTGTTGGAGTATGTTAATTTGCTAATGTCTCCGCAAGGTATTGAGGTAGCAGTGAAGAATTATCTGGTAAAGTACTGATTTATTATTACTTTAGGTCAAGTTCTTTCTGCTCATGTGGCAGGAAAAGTAGTAATGAAATCATATCTGTCTGGTATGCCAGAATGCAAGTTCGGAATCAATGATAAAATTGTCATGGAAGCTAAAGGCAAAGGAGGAATTGGCACTACGACGGATTCCGATCCAGCCAGATCCGGTAAACCCGTAGTGGTTATTGACGATTGCCAATTCCATCAATGTGTTAAGCTGAGCAAGTTTGAAACCGAGCATTCCATTAGTTTTATTCCTCCAGATGGGGAGTTTGAACTTATGAGGTGGTTTATGGTGCTTTAATAGACACATGTTATCTAAGGATTTTATTTATTTACAGATATCGCACTACCAAAGATATATCTCTTCCATTCAGAGTGATACCGCTTGTTAGAGAAGTTGGTCGCACAAAAATGGAAGTTAAAGTTGTTTTGAAAACTAACTTTAAACCTTCATTGTTGGGGCAGAAAATTGAAGTGAAAATTCCTACTCCTTTGAACACTTCCGGCGTTCAGCTAATTTGCCTGAAGGGCAAAGCCAAATATAAAGCATCTGAAAATGCTATTGTCTGGAAGTAAGTGTGCTCGCGAAGAAGCTAAAACATACGTATAGTAATTCGATTACTAATTTTCAGAATCAAACGTATGGCAGGAATGAAGGAAACTCAGCTCTCTGCGGAAATTGAACTGTTAGAAACCGACACGAAGAAAAAATGGACGCGTCCTCCTATTTCAATGAATTTCGAGGTTCCGTTCGCCCCATCGGGCTTTAAGGTGAGGTATCTAAAAGTATTTGAACCTAAATTGAATTATTCCGACCATGATGTTATTAAATGGGTGAGGTACATTGGTAGAAGTGGACTGTATGAAACCAGATGCTAACTCGAATAGGCTTGAAAGGTAGACGTGTCGTATCAAGTAGAAATACTCTGTATTGTTAGTCCATAATAAATACCTTACTGGTATGCATATACAGGCAAGGTACTTTATCCTAGGCTCCCTTCTGATCCCAAACCGATGTGTTATCTAAAATTTGTTTTTATTTTATATTTAATTTGGATCTAAAGCAGCGGCAACAGTTAAAAAAACCAAGAGTGAAATTCCCGATATCTTACGAGCTTTGTCTTTGAATAATTTAAATGTGTTGTTTCAATATGAAACACCATATAACGAGACCCAACCGGATGTGAAATGTTGGCACTTGATGTTTGAAATATATTACTTTTTTTCCTACATGATTCAAAAATTGAAATAATTCAATTCGCGTTGTTACGGTAGTTTTCGTGATTTATGAAGATTCTTCGACAAGATGTGGCATAAAGTAAACGGTCCACCCTGTATATAAAGTAACATATGTTCATTGTCCTTGCAGTCATTTGTTCTAAAGTCTTACTTTATGACGCTCAGTTATACCCTTGGATTTATTTTTTGTATTTATTTGTATTGTTGTGTGCGTTTGCGAAGTTTCAAGTATTTCAATTAATGTATACTGGTGTAACACACTAAAGCCATTCATTTGTTTTACGAATAAGTCATCTGTATGCATACCTTTATGATAAGTAATTATTGAAACTTTTGTTGTCACGTATATATCGAAAATTATTAAATAATTTTGCGCATTATTGTCGCAATACAAAGACCCCAACAAGCGGCATTGTGTGACAAAATCCGATACATTATGCTAATTGGAAATCAGTAGATATATTAATTGTATTTGCATATTTGTGGAATTATTTGTAAAAAAATTGTTTCACCAACCAGCAGACGAAAGTGTTTCAGCTTTCCGCAATTCTCGTTTAATTGCAAATTTCAAGTCTAGCATAACTTAATATATACAATAAAAATATTATCAGTAGTTTTACTCTTATCCACACCCATTTGCCATCGTTCAAAACTGAGTCTGTTCTCTTGTAATTTGTAAAGTACACTCAAGCGGGTACAATACCAAAAACAGAAAGTAAAAAAATTAAACATCAAAGTATTTTAAAAGAATTATATTCGTCGTCGGTAGAGGAAGTTGTGAATGAAGCAAGTTATTAGAAAAGTTGAAGTTAGTAATGAGTTAAGTAATATTACTTAAAAGTACTGCACATTGTCTAACGAAAGGAGAAAATAGGATACAACAAACGTCAAACTGAAACGAAGCAAGGATGAGAAGTAACATCCATTGGGTATGTATCTGGTAACCATACCAGGTTTTTTTTTTATTTAAATAATATTTTATCTGTTATCAATTATATAATATGCACAATAAAGCGACGTACGATTAGAGAAAGTATTTGTTGTATTATTTTTAACCACTTCCTTTACATAACGTCGCAAAGTTAGGAGAAAAAAAGTATGCATTATTTTTATCACAATGTTAGATATGTTTGCGTTGTATGAAAATATTATATATTGTGCAATATATGAAAAAAAGACAACTGTTCCAAGGCAATGGCGTAACTTGTGGCAATTGATTTATCAAAACTGCCCTAGAGGTTCAAATCGAAAATTATAGACATTAAATGTCTTCGTTTTAGTTATTAATGGAGAACTATATTAACTGTCATTTAATCACTCTGTATACATACAGAGTGATTAAAAATTGGCTTCATTTCTTTTAGGGGATAATAGAGTTAGAGAAAATATTGGAATTTTTTTTCCAAAATTTCTAGAAGATTATTAACAGTACCTAGTGAACAAGTAAGAACCGTGAACTTTCGCGCCTCCAAAATTTGTTGAAAACGGCATTTTTGGAAGAAGCGCCACTAAGAAAAAGTTCAACAGTAATTTGTTTAAAACAAGAGCAAAATATTTCGGGTTCTTTACATCGAACGATCCCTATTGCAAATTCAAAATCCGTTTAAATTGGAGTGTTGGCGTGTAATTAACAGAGAAAAAGTCTATAACGACGCAATCTTTCTAACACGAGATTAAAAAGTGTAATTCACAGCAGAACCCTAAACCCTTGAAGCTTAAGTTCTTGAGTCAGTTAGACTTTGTACGAATGGAGCTTCAAATCCAATTGTAAAATTCGCCACAATGATCCGTAAGACAAGCCCAAATGTTGAGGACGTCGGGGAATCGACGAATTTGGGTCTTCCTCCACACTTTGAGCAACCACAGCGAGATTTCCAGCTGAACGAATGTTGCGATGATGCACAGGCCTTACAATATTAGTAACCGATCCAGTCTCTTAAAATTTTTCCACCGTGTTCGAAATTGATTGCTCTGTGGGTGGATTATGTCGACCGTAATCTACTCGTAAAGCCCTAAACGTTGATACAGCCGAATCACCATATTTATAGTAACATTTAATAAATTTTACGCGTTCTTCGACAGTTAAACGATCCATATTTACCTTTGTCAGATATCAAATAGCAAGGTGTTACTTTCCCAACACGTTGTTGCTGGTAAAAAAAAACGTTTTTTGAAAAACGGCGGAAAATTAAAATGGGTTGGCCAGGATCACTCACGGTAAAAGTAATATAAACTTACCGAATGCTTCATTGTAGATACCACCTAAAAAAATCTGTATTATTACATAAACTGGGTTTTCGACTGAACCCAGTGATTTGATTGGAAAGAAAAAGAAATAGAAAACTGAATAAAAGTTTTTTTCCTGAAAACTCAACTCAGTTCAAGTTAGGGTTTATAGATTAATAATCCTTCTGACCTGCTTTTTGCAAACTGACGCCGGATTATCCATTGTCTATCCCTTAAATCTCAAAAATCACACACTACACGAGCGCACAATGAGAATCCACACAAAGTTAAAAATAAATGTGGATTACACTCAGTAATTAACAGGACAGATAGTGGACCGTTCGTGCCTAAATGACTCTAAATTGGTACTTTTATCCCGTTTTTGAATAAAGACCCGACGACTAATCCCTTGCCCATAATAGACTGAACCAAACTCATGCGAAATTAAGGAGTTTATCACATAAAAAACAACTACCGAGCTACAGAACTCACATAATGATATAATCTATTTCGCTGGCCCTTTGGATGACTCATAGTATTGCTATTCTGTTCGATTTCAGTTTTTTTCCTATTGGCATTGACGATTTTTTAAAATTCTAATGATTTGTCTAATTTCGACAATATCTTCTTCCTTGCATTTATTTTATCTCTGGTACGGTTTTCGGTTTATTTGCAGAGGAATGACTTAACACATTTCATGTAATTGTTAGAGAGACAGAAGAAAGAAGACATTTGCTAGAGGAAAAAATAAAATAAAATCGTACAAGTTCATTCCCCTGTATTTTAAAACGGACGCGTATTCGGGCATTTGTTTCTGCAGTCAAAATGCTTGTTTTGATGCAAAAAAAAAGTTTGTCGGAAGATTTATTGAAAACCCTGTATGTAAGTTCCAATCCAGCTAATTTAAACTTGGAAAACTTTCGTTGACTGATTGCTCAGTCATAAGTACAGGAAACAATTATTAATTTAAAGCTAATTTTTATTCTTATTTAATTTAAACTTCCATTGATGAAAATAGTTTACGATTTTGATACAATCGCATTAATAATTATTATTCATTAGTAGGTCAATAAAATATTAACTTTTACATAAAAGTATGTTTATTTACACAATTTAAAATAACAGCAAGATTTTATAAATTTAAAGATATAAGTATTTTACGTATATACAGAGCGATGACTAAAGAGTGGACACCATTTTCAATTTTTCATTACATGTAAAAATAATAACTACATTTTGAAGAAAACACTAAAACCAATCAGCATATTGCATCAAAGTTATTTCTACTAATTGCTGCATCGATTTTTCGCTCTCTGAATAAATTGAAACAATTGACGGTTGCCTGCTTTGCAAATATACTTCTTTATTGTCATATTGCTTAAGTTTGTTATATTATTGTCATACCAACACTATTTAACCGTTTTAAGAACTAACGTACAAGCCATGGAAACAACAATATTTATAAAATCATTTATGGCGGAAATTAATTAGAGTTATGTAGATGGTTTTATGTTACAGGGTGGTTCAAGCCTCGTGATTTGTTTAAATCAGTGCATAAATCACCAGCTTTAAGAACCCTGTATAATTAAAATATAAATGGTTATAGGTAAGTAAGTCAAATTTTGTAGATATTCAATATCAACTCAGAGCTTAGGCAGAAGATTTGTGATAATTGAAAAGTTAAATAACCATTAAATAACGGGTGAATTTTCCGTAAATAAACGTTGTTTTAACTGGGGGAAGTATTAGTGACTCGAGAAGTCTAGTTTTTATTTTGCACACAAAAATCTGAAATTGACTCGTATAAGTGAATCAAAGCTACTCTTGACGAACATTGTATGAAATGTACACACACTCACATTCACATATATTTTGATCATTATTTCCTCAATTTTACTTTTCGCTCTTGTATAATTCTTATACCTCGAAAATAATACCAGTAAATATAACGGGTTTTGTACATTTAGTGTGTTGAGTATCTCCTGGCAAATTCTTCTCTTTTAAGTTGAACGAAGATCAGATACTTACCAGCCGAATTAAGAAAAGCTTCTCCGACAAAGTTCTATTTTTGCACACTTTAAACCTTAAATTATTTTAAATGCGTCCTTTTAAGGCTGAAATCTACCACCCTTTACTCGTTTGGTCAAATCCGAAAATCACCTTGTGAGCATATTAATTTAACACATACATTCTCGTTCATTTCATATTCTAATTCCTTAGTAACTAGCAACATTAGCGATATGTTTTCTCATGATATTCATGATTGCAACTAGTTGGTCGATTGGTTTGGTCCGATATACCTTCCAATATACCAACTTGTTTTGAAATAGTATTGCGTTCCTTTAACTTCCGTAAAATTGTATTTGAAATGTTAAACTCTTAGACGATATTTGCCTAATGTTTAATAATTCTTTATAGCTGGAATATTCAGTTAAAGAAACTCAAAAAATTACATTCCTCACGTAATAAATATCTGTTTTTTTCTATATAAAAACTAGTTGTCTAATTTATTAAATCTTAATATTGGAGATACGATTATAAAATTATTAATTAATTAATTTATGTTTTAATTAATTTCTTTATGAAAGCTGCAACTTATTTAGCTTGATTTTTGCAAGAATTTATTTTATTTAGTTTAAAAATTTCTGAGTTTTTTAAGTAGTAGTAATTTTCTCTATTACTCAACGAACTGTTTTATATTTTCTTAGGCCTGTTTTTGTTTATAAGGTTTTTTCAATTATATGTTTTTCTAGATTCACCAGTAATCGCAGGTTTCGGTTCAACGTTGGAAAATTAACCAAAAATTGAACAGAAACTAGAAATGTTTTTTCATATAAAGTACTTTAACAAATTTTAAATACTATTTAAATTTTCCTACCTTATCTCCTTATCTTTAATTATGTTTATTTATTATTACTACACATACTCTTAAACGAATACATTATTAGACATAACGAAAATAGTCGACAGAAGTATTGCAATATATCTTCTAAGTTTTTTGTTATCACAAATCTTCATTCCTGACTCATTCCCTTGACTTTACCCCTTATTTTGCCTCGCACCATCGTAATAAAGAAAATATAAATTAAATTCTTTTTAAACAACAAATCAACAACAATAATGTACATTTTGCCACAAGCTCAACGAATGCAATAATAAAAAAATATTCCACAAGTACATTTAAATGAATTTCAAATTAATAACTTTCATTATTTATGATTTTATTTCAGTATCCGTACTATACACATTGCGTAATTTCTTAAAATGCTTGCAGGGAAGATATTTGTAAGTAAGTCGGTAAATTTTCTGATTTTCTTTTATATGGCGTGACGTAATTATTATTAGACTGAAATTAATTCAGCATCATCTTCAAAATGTACAGACTGTTCCTAAATGTCACCTCCCTAAAGCAAGTAACATATTTTCTTATTTTATGACCAAGAAGCGTATTGACTAAAATAAACATGCGTTCTAAGTCACTATAAATTTTAATATTTCCGAAAAAATTGTGAACATTTTTTTCGCAGATATTTTCATTGAGGAAAGAAAATGGTTTTGAAATATCAGTACAATAATAGTCAAACCCTATTTACATTTTTAAAAAACCTTTAAAGGATTTATATTTATTGATTTATGTAAATCAAATAACATTTTTCTGTACTTATTTCAATTGAAAACTCTTCAGTCAGAGAAATAATAAAAACTACGTTTTCTAACGTCGGTATATTAAATTATGGATAAGGTTCAAGCATCATAACTGCACTTTAAATAAGCAAACTCTTCTAGTTAAATAGATCTAAGCTTGATTAATGATAATGCAAAACGGATATAAGGCCTCATATTTTAGTCATAAAATAAGAAAACCTTTATAACTAGACTACTGTCCTCTTTAACTTATCAGGATTAGTTTAGGTATTGTCCTCCACTTCTAAAAGGCTTTAGAAAAAACACACATAATAATGTACTACAACACATAAAATGTGAGTGTATAAATATTAAATATGTTAAAAAATATTGTACAAATCTTATTGTCTTAGTTTTATTGTTTAATTATTATGCGACTTATTGTCAAGTTAGACATTTCTATATCCTACATGCATGATAGTATTGTCTTGTTTGAACGTACAAATTAAATTCGATAGGAATTTACTAAAGTTACCTTACTTTGCAAGAACGATATAAATCATTTAAGCTGCCAAAATGCTCTTAACTCTTACAGGCATTTTCGAGAAAAAAATGATTTTGAAGTTTTTTAATCTAAATAAAGTAAATTGTGTTTCAGCTTTTTAATAAAGTGATCAAATTAATTCTTTCCTATAAGTACTTGTTTAAAATAATTAAAAAGTGCAATTATTTTTTAAAAACAAAGTAAGGTAAGCTTTTACCTAGACTGGTTGCCAGCGCATATCCAATATATATAAAATTTGTAATGCCCAAGAAAGATTTTTTGTGTTTGAAATCGTTAACATCTTTATAATTATGTAGAAGCGATCGACTTTTAAAGCTTATGAAATACATACCTATTTATTGTCAAGATATGGCTATTATTTGACATACCCATCTGATTATTTATTTAAATATCTATCACTACATATTCATGAATACCAAAATGTATCTGGAAGTTCATATATAAAATAATAAAAATTCAATCGGCAGAAAGTTTTCAAACACTGTTCAACAGCCAGACTTGAACTCAATATAATAATCGAAGCTATTCTAGTCAGATCCTTTTTAAAACTTTTTCTTACTAACGTAAAAAATTGCTAACAAAAACGCTTCCATTCGATTGTTCCTAATTTCGATCGAGTCGAGATACTTGAAGAAGATGGAAGGGAGTAGTAGACATTTCCATCTTATATTTGATGCTAGAAAATACAATTTTTTGGTTTGCACATTGAACGACTTGAAAATCTGAATTAAGTAAAAATTTCCATTCTTTGATATCCTCTTCCTCGCAAAAATGACCGGAGTAAAACAATATGGATCAAATCATAAAGACGTAGAGTCACATTTGAAACATTATTCATTCACCATTGAAAAGTATATTGAAATAGTGAGGTAATTTGCTAACTTTATGCTTATTGCGGAAAAATAATAGAACTTTTATTAGTCTCTTTAAACTTTGAAATTTTGACGTCTTGTGCATGTTGCCTCGGAGTTCAACTTAAAGAAGCATACTGTTTTTTAATTTCAAGACATTCCAAGGTATTATTTAGTATGTAAGTTAGTTAACGTACTTGGGCTTAAGGATATGCGTTCTTTAATGTCTGTCAGCAAAATCAAATATCGCCATTAGTAAATTTCAGCTAATAATTGATATAAATTTTTTTTATACTGAGCAAAAAATCTGGAAAGCAAGAACGGACTGCACCAACCGCCAACCATTATTTTTAAGATTTTATACCGTATTTACTTAAAAATCTGTAGTATTTCAACCCCGTATACTCGTCCAAATCACGAACGAATGTGGAGACAAGTGTAAGAAACAGTTTTTTAAAGCGTAAGCTCGGTCACATGGTATAGTAAATAAATAAGTGTAATAAAGTACAAATTAACAGAGGTATGATAAGAGTTACATGTTTGTCAACATGTCTGATTCGCCAATCTAGAGTTGACAGACTAGTTGCAGTTTTCGCAGACACCGTATATTTTCCGTTCAATCGTTCAGTAAAAATATACTTTCCTTGTAACATTTGTGGTATTCTTGAACAATGTTTATGAGTTAATAACACATGTATGTACAAAGTTTAATATGTCGATTTATTACACAAGCAGAACCCCATTATTGGTAATATTGTTATAATTCAAATTTATTTTTTGTCACTGAAATTAATTTCAGAGAATAAGGAGGATCTTCCTCTGTAATATCGATTTAAGTTATTTAATAGTTCAGCTAAGTTTAATTAAGGCGCTTCACCCACCTACGATCAATCCGAGTTATGTTACTGTCATTAAAAGTGAATATCGAAAGTAATTTTGAAATTTGGAACATATTCTATGGCAAAGGGCATTTTGTTTAATGTGTTTTTAATTATAAAACCATTTTGTAGAAATTATGCGTATCGGAAACCGGTATTCCTTCTGGAAGGTATTAAAAATTCTCCTTTTGCTTACAAATGGTGTCGATAGTGGATGAAACGCCGACGAAATAACGTTTTGTCTAAAATTCATAAAATTTAAGTATAAAAAATTGACATGTTATTACAAAGATTAAAAGAGAGTATTCATCTTAAAGTCTAATCGATTACGAATTACTTTATTTTCTTGGTGTGATATGTTACGATATCAACTAAAAATGAACAGTAATTTGCCGTTTAAAATGTTCAGCCAGAGCCAAATCTAACAATTAGAAAAGTAGAATGGCAACATTTTGTCATTTTAATTTCTGCAGGATGTAAATCTCTCATCAAATAATAAATATTGTCAAATTCTACTATAAGAATTTAACAGGCATTTCACAAAAGTACAAAAAGATTATTGTGCGCTTGACAGAGAAAATAAAACGTGCAGTATTACGTGGAATTCCATCCACTTATTGTCAGTAAGGTTTAAAGTCATTTAGTCTAAATTTGTAAAATATGCAAAATATTCTATAGTTGCCAGATAATTATTGTCTGAAGTATTATTGTCATTAGGTAAACTGACAGAGTTTCAGTTGGTATCGATATGGATGCTCCAGCAGTCACATTTTCCCCGTTTTGTTGCGATATGTAACCTGGGTCCACCACTCGAATTTTCCATCCCAAATTTTGATGAACGTAACACTGAAATAGTTAAGTATTTCAAAATGATAATGAAAAATGAATTAAACGACTTATTCTAAAAGTTTTACAAGTTTTGCATTAGAAAATGCGATAATGTCTTTTATAATTCCCATTTCAGTCTACGTATAAGAACAATTTTGTAGGATGTATTCAAATGTGTCGCTTGTGTAAAAAATTATCAATTTTATAGTTAATGGATGGCCTAATTGACACACTTCACGATTTGAATTACTTTCTAAATTATATTAAATTTGCATTATTACACATTATTTGCAGAACAATTAATAAATCTGCTGAATTTTCCAATATGAAATACCTACTTGATAATACAATGTATCTGGAGCATCCATTGGCACTGTCCAATTGAAAAAAGTTGCTTGCCCATCATCGCATTCCAACCTGAGCGTCGCTTTGTAGTTTTCAAAAGTATCAGATTCCAAGGCTCGATCAATGCTCTTATGAGCCCATTCGCAATATCTTCCTGTTGCAATGGGAAAAGGTTCTCCATTAGAATCATAGTCAATTCCAGCATATATTCGTTGCTGCCTTTGCTGTTCTTCATTCAGTTGTTTAAAACCTCCAATGCTTGAATCGCTGATGTATAAAGGGTGAAATCTACAACACCAGAAAGATAATTTTATTACGCGAGTTTAACTAAACGAAACGAATTTCAAGACTTTCCATAAGGGCTTGTCCGTATCGTTTAACAGATGAATATTTCTTATTTGTATGCGTTAGAAGCTCTAGTGTTAAATTGTCCCTGAGAAATCGTCGTTTTCGAAGACAGATACTTTAAATTTGGCCTCTATTATCACCCGATTTGGATCTACTAGACAAGTTTTAATAGCAAAGAAAGATTTAGCGTGTCAGATCGGCTTTTAGAAACTCATCTAAAAAATCTTGTATACATTTATTCTGATCTGTTGAATAAGCGACACTCACTTATAAACTTGACATAACCACTTTCACAAATAAATACCTAAAATAAAACTTTGGTGAAAATTCGCTATTGAAGACGTTTCTTAAAATTCAAATACAAGAGAAGTGAAAGATCACAGAACAGCACAGAACAGAAAAGATCTGGAAGAAGAAATGAAATAATAGTGTAAATAATTAACTGGTTTAAAAACTAAAATAACAGCGATTAAGGAAGAGTACATTGATTTACAAAACAAAACAGAAATCAAAAACTAATTGCAATAAAAAATACGAGCATGAAGAACACAGTAAAAGCAGCTTATTAGAATCATTAAGTAAATGTATAAATACTACAATTTAACGAAATGTTACACGTTTGACGTCCACTGGAAAGCAAAGACGAGAAACCTAGAAAACCACTTGCCTAGAAAACGGCAAGAAGTAATCCGGAATGACAATGCTATGACAGAAGGAATAGAAAATGCACATTGAACATTTGAAAACATCGTTTTTAACATACAGGGTTTACCTCATAAGTTGTATAAATAGTCAAAATCAAAATAGTGTAGAAATCACTTGACTGAAATTTGAAGCACTCGTTACGCCTAGAGAATTATTACTATTACATACATGCATCTATATCTAAGCCTTATCAGTACCATGAACAATGTGATATTCTGTGTGTATTCTACCAAAACAAAGGAAAATAATGTAGAAATCAATTTTCCCAAAGGCAAATATTAGAAGGAGCAAGCAGAAGAGCAACATTTATTAATGAAGATTAAACTTAAATAAAATATAGAATTTTACCGATTTTAATCTAAGTGTTTTTATTTAAAAAAATGTAAGCTATAGTAGCAATAAATAACATTAATTTCTACATGATTTTGAAATATATATATTTTTTGGAAATCAGGAAAATTTATTGTATCAATCTGTCTTAAAATACAATTGTGTTACCCAGTGTTCCATTAAAAAAAATTGACAAATTTTGACATTTACGTCTCCAATTTTTTTATTTTAATTTGCAGATTTTGAATAGCTGAGTAATAATGGGCAACTTTTGTATTTACAACTTAATTTTTTTTTTTAACTAACTGATCTAACGGAGTCAAGTTATCAGAAAACACCCTGTATATAAGGATACATTAAACATAATATAATTTGCATGTTTTGTGAGATTTACTCTTCTCGAAGTTTAACTAACAAACTTACGTAACATATATTTGCTACTTTCATTTAGAAAGATAATATGGCAATATCATTGTAAAAATCGGTGTGTCATATGTGCTTCTATTATGGAAAAAATATAACGAACTATAAACTTTTATGAACTTAGTACAAATAAATTGATAAGTTGTTTTATGGATCGCAGCAAATATACAAATAAAATTTTTTGATCAATATAGAGCTAACTAAAATTGAACTAAAGATGAACGGGTGTGTCATACACCTCCAGATTATGCAAAATATTATTTAGATTTAACTCGGAAAATTAGTAGAATTTCACTTCAATTTTACTTCAATTGCAATAGTTTCAAAATCAGAGAGTTTCAATTATATTTTAATTTATCAACATACAGGGCGTACCAATCTTGCATTTCAGTTAGATTTAATTAAATAAGAGTTTAATTAACATTAATAATTACTCGTTTGCAGGGACAGCTTTTTAACGCAAGTTGGAGATGTAAGCATCACATTCCTACACGGTTTTCAATAATAGAGAGTGTTTTAGAAACATGCAATCAATCCAGAACTTATTTTTTTATACAGTAGAATAGTATATGATGTAGAATGCTGTAATATACATATTGTATATTATACGGTATATGGCCCGTTGGTATCATTTTCCTCATATTTTTTAAATAAGTATATAGTTCATATTGTAGGGTATTGGATATCTACAACAGAAAAGAAAATTCTGAAATATTTGATGTCAGACCCAGATAGTCTTTAAGTTGGCTACTGTGTTTGCTTGTCGCGTTACTAAACCAGGTAAAAGGTATTTTTTTTAATGCTAAAAGCGAAGTAAATGAAGAGTACACTTTCTTCTTAAAATACTTCAGATTTTCTCAATTTGTAGAAAAAAGATTGATTTATAGTTTCAGAAAAAGCTAGAGTTTTTTTGTACCTGTACCCAGCGTATCAAAATTAATACAGTTCCAAAGATTTACGTTTTGAAGTTCAATCGTTTAGAAATAATTTGCAAAAAACCCTACTACTGGGACCCTCTTCAAGAAGGTGATTCTCCGTTAGGAAGCATTTTTCGATACATGTTCATTTGAAAAATTAATATTATTTTTGAGAGCAGATTTCACTATTTCAGTTTGGCCACCTAATTTCTGGACACCCTGATAGGTAGATGAATGTTGACAACTCTCCTCAGGAGTTTTTGAAACGTGTTTTAAGCGTAGAAGGAAATAATCGAAAAAAAGATCAATTTGCTTATGGGTCATTAGTTTCAAATAATTGAGAAATGTTAATTAATAATTGACAGTATCGTTTCAAATTAAACGTTATTTTAGTTATCCCATATTTTAGTTTATCCACAGATCTCTTAACATGTTTTTAGTGTTTTTTGTATGGGTTTTCATACTTGGTTGTTAGATGAAATGCTTATATATTTTGCTTGAACGCAAATCTGCTCACTAGAGAATTCAGTTAGTTAAGTTCATAATACAGAATTTTGGAAAACTCGATTGAAATATAAAATGATCACGGTTGGGTCAATAATGTATTTTGCGCCAAATTCTTACTTCCAAAAATTCATATTTATCCTATGTGAAAACATTTAATTAAATCGTGAATCGTATGTGCACATATGCATATTTGATCTTCCTATCTTCATTTTATCCGCTCATTTATGACAAATATTACTCACATCGCCCTTGGAATATGTTTTTGGAAAATTGTCATTTTTAACACAATCAGATTAGTGGATTATCTAATTAAAACTTGCATTAGGTACCTTGCAGGATTTGTTTGTGATTCCCCAGTTTCCACTACAAATCTATAAGTTTGGCCTCGTTCTACAAACAGCTCAGGAATTAACAAATCGTTTATATAGTAACACGTTCCCCACGATGGCAAGCCTGTTATTTTTGAGTAACCTTTGGCACCTCCAGTTGGTCCAATTTTCACATAGAACGTGTTTTCACCTAGAGAAATATGTGAACAAATTTATCAATCGATAATAATCTAAATGTAGATTACGAATTTTCTATGACTGATTTCAAAGAATTGACAATAATTATAATTCCTAGTTAGTTGCTAAGAAGCTCTAAGTTTCATCTTAAATCGTGAGTTCGAGAATACTTTCCGAAAAAGACTACTGAACTGAATAAATGACGGATAGTCGGAAAAAGTGTCATTGTAGATTTAAAAATAATCATTTAACTTTAATTGCGTAATTCAATGTTTGAATGATCGATTTGTTTAATAGTGATTAAGCTTTTTTTATTATTTTATTTTATCCATGCACTAGATTACTCACCAATTATTTTTGCCGGAGGCCAGGACAAAATTCCATCTTCAGGCGGTAAATTCTCTACAGTCAAAGTGCATTGATTATCATTCAAATCGCTGAAATTAATTTGCGAATCCGTATCAGTTCTATCTTTTCTAGTGTGAGCGTTCGCTTCTGTTCGATTATTCAAGGGTCCAAAAGCCGCTATCACACTTACTGGATCACTTTCTGGTATCGGTCGATCATTAATCGCTTCATTTGTGTGTAAAGGTCTAAAATAAGCAAAATCTCTTATACTTAAGAAAGAAATCGCAGGTTTTACTCACTTGCTGTATTTGATGGTAAGCACACCATTAGTTCGATCGCCATGCAGCACTGACACATCATTTCTCCCTCCTATACGCTCATCAGGACAAACCCCAGATTTCCCATCGCATTGCGATAAATGTGATATGTAGTAATCCTCTGCTCGGAAGGATCTTAAATCTTTGTCAAAGAAAACCACTGTTATATCTGCTCCAATCTGTAAATAATGGAAATAATCAGCGTAAAGAACCCTAGAGTCCTAAAATGTGGACGAAAGAGCAAAAGATGTAGATATGAGTACAAAATGGATACATCTAAGTTTATTGAGGTCAATTTGACGATGTTGGCAAACATTTACAAAATTAGAGCAAATAATCGTAATTCTTTATTGGCGCTTAAATACGATCATTTAAAGGAATTATTGTTGATATAGCTTAGGGGGGGTTTACCTACTAATAGATAGATAGTTTTATTTCCATATATGATAAAACAAGTTGAAGTGGAATCCGTGAATTGTATAATAATGTGGATTTGGGTGTGTACTTTGATGCTAAGATTTCATTTAATTACCACATTGATATTACCAAAAATAGAGCCTTACAAATGTTGGGATATGTTAAACGAACAACTAAAGACTTCAGAAGTGTTAAATGTATAAAAGTTGTGTATATGTCTTGTATCAGGAGTATCTTGGAGTATGCCAATATTGTATGGTCGCCTAGTTATCATGTACATATAAATAAGATAGAAAGTATTCAAAATAAATTTCTAAGATACTGCGCCTACAAGGCATCTATACCTTTAGATGATTTGGTCTACCAACAATTACGAGATCAATTAGAAATTCAAACGCTTGAACATAGAAGATTGGAAAGTGAAATGATATTTTTATTTAAATTAATTTAAATTATTAAACTACCATTAATTAAAACTACCATATAAATTGCCCTTATTTGCTCAGTAAATTGAATTTCCATGTTCTAAGAGAACGGTCAGAAGTCTATCTATATTTTACTTGGCAACTCATGACACCAATTACAGTCACTTTATGATTATCGACAGAGTATGCGGGACTGCTAACAATTTAGATTTGTCATTTTTTAATTTTTTATTGGTAGCATTTAAGACCGAACTAAAGCTGAAAGTACCCATGTAATTTATTTATTGATTATTTATCTGTTATTGTTATATGCTAATTTTTATTGTATTTTAATATTTTTATACGCATTGTATAATTCGCCATGGATTTTTTCCGTTTAATAAATTTGAATTTGAATACCTACGAGATAAATAATACGAATAATTTAACGGTACTAAGCTAGTACTGCGTAATGCACAATAACTTAACCACTTACTTTGAATTTTGGTAACAAAACATAGGAATCCAAAATTCGGAAGGTTTTTGTCTACCGAAGTACTTAATTTAAATGATGTTCCGGTTTATTAGTGACCGTGATGGTAATTAAAAAAGATGCTTATTTTGATTCTTGGGTTTATCGGTAATTAAAGATAGTGACGGAAAATGAACCACCATTTGGACCTTGGACCAACGTTTCGGATGAAATATTTTAGCAAACTTCAGCATTTTTGCATAGAAAGTGTACATACCGTTAGAAGTAGGTGTATTGTTAGAATTATTTAGTCTGTATCACCAACCTTAAGAGAGTAAGTTAATAATTTGTTGATAGAAAGCAGTAAAAATTCGCTTGGAGTTTTCATTTGTACAAATTGTCAGTTTTTTTACTTTGGCTTAATTTGACTGACTTAATTAAGAATTTTGGTAAATTTTTATTTATGAGGATGTTCCTTTGTTCTTCTTCAGCCTTCTGCATAAGAAATCGTTTGAGCTTAAATTAAATGAATATACGGTATCACAATTATCTTGATTTATTAAATAAAATTTACTTTTCTAAATTTCACGCTTTTTTCTCGCTTATTTATTTGATATTTGTTTATTTAAAAGTTGATAAAACATTCCATTTAGTTGTGTGGCAATTATCAATCAAATTCATGTTGATATAGTTGTGATGTTTTTCCGCATGTGTTCTTTAATTATTTATTTTAATGGTGATGATGTTGCTCGTATATAAAATGCATTGTCTTCGCAAGGGACTTTGTAAACACTTTGTTTTGTGTCTTTGAATTTTGTCGGAAGGTTTTGTTTTCGAAATTTGTTTTCGAATTGTATGTTCAGTTCTGAATATAGTTCTAATATTGAATTTGCTACTTACTCGCTTAATATTATCCGAAAGCCCTGGAGTAAATGGAATAAACTGGTTGTAATAAGTTTCTTTTGAACTTTTTGTTACTGCGGATTTTCCATTAAAAGTCAAGAAAATTAAAAGTCATTAAAAGTCAATCAAAGAATTTGAAGGGACCAACATTTTTAATTCTTCAAATCCAATTCTTGGGAAATCTTTAACAAAAGCTTTTGGAAACTATACAATAGTTCAAAACGATTTGCATGTTTCACAATTTGCAACCAAAAGTTATAAATCGACCACTTTAATGGAACAATAATATAGTAAGGTATATAAGTAAATAATACATAAGTAAATAAGTATATAGTAACTTAATAATACAGTAAGGTCAGTTTATGTTGATTCGTAAATATTTGCCAAACTTTTAAGTAAAATCGCACCTAAATATGTTATTCCGAGTAATTGAAATCCTGACAACGCAAATGCACCTCCAAGATTTTATTTTCGCGCCATGTGTTGCATTGTGTGAAATTCCCCGAACAAACCTCCAGTGAAAGGAATCCTCTATACGTCAGCAAAAATGTGCTAGTTTTACCAAACATTATGTAAAATTGCGGACATTTTAATGTATGTATATTTCATCAGATTTTACTCGCATTGCGACTCCAAAATTAAAAATTCAAGAGCAACTAATTAAGGTGAACTATTTTCTTCGAACTTACCATTTGAGCTTTATTATTATCCCCAGACAAACCAAAAGCCATGTATTTATCGTCCCCAATCCTGGCAGACAGCGTGATCTCCACTCGGTCGCCTTTCATGATCCATCTGACTTGAAGACGTTTATCTAAAAATTCCCTGCAATTGTTGGGTGCTGGGGGTACAGTGGTGGTGGTCGTCTTTAGGGAATAAGAAAAAAATCAAATAAAAACACATCAATAAATAGGGGCATGCATAAGGTGGTGAATATTCACAGTTAATAATATTTAAATTAGAATATGTGAAACGAATTTTTAAGTCATCCCGGTAATATACACTAGATAGGTTCAACTTTCTGTACAAAATCGAGAAAGAAACAAATATCGTTTTTCTTTCAGCTAGTTTATTTAAACACAATTAAAATGGTGTAGTTTATAGACTAGTTACAGTTAATAACCCTAAGACGCATTGGACTGCGTAGATTCATATGTGGTACTTACTGGATTGTACCACCAAGGAGGCTGCAGTTGGAGAGTAAGAAAAATGTATATTTGCAAGAAATTTTGCACAGAACTAAAATGTTTACTTACCGATATCTTCGTCTGGCCAAGTGCAGGAGGCACATCCAGATCCTTCGGAATCATTACGTGGCCAAAGTTATGTCGAAACTTTACACACCAAACAGCTAACCAATCAATATCGTAAACGGTCATTGTCCCAGGAAGTTGAATTTCTATGTCTTCCCCAAGGTATCCACGTAAGGGCTCAAACGATCCAAGTTCGTTTGGAACCTAAAGATACCGGTAATAGATTAGTTGATATTATAAATGAATTGTCCTGGGTGGAATTGATAGCTGCTGAAAGGTGAATATAACATTGATAAACCAAATCAAAATTTTTGTTGGACTGAAAGTTGTTTAATATTTTTAGTCTTCGACTTTGGTTTTATCGTATTTGTAATCCATAAAACACATTATCTCATTGAGCTGATCTTTTTCTTCTCAAAATAGTATGAAATTGCATCGTATGGTGGGACAAACTTATTAAATTAGTTCTATGTCTAAAACTGTTATAAGGGATTGTAGATAGTAGATCAGATATAAGTGACGGAGAGATTGCGGAATTAAATCTACTGAGTAAAACAGTTTTTCCATGCAAAACAGAAAACTTTTACAACTTCCCAAAATTTTGAAAGTTTGTTCAGAAAAGCTTTGATGAGGTTTTAATAAACCGGTATATCAAATGCGCGTACCTTGAATCCAAAAGGAGTGGGTTCCGTCCCGTTACCCACCCAAAAATAAGCGTCTGGACCGGCACCATCATAATGCAGATTGGGAATGTAGAATGTTTTGGCATCCAGAATAGTGATATTATCCGAGCGCAATCCGTGAGCTAGTCGCTTAAATTCTGGAAGAACCCGAGGCTTGGGTACTTCCAAGTTCGGTGGAATAAATACCTCCCCAAAATCTACCTGAAAAAAATTGAACTTTAAGTGAGGTTTATGCTAAAAAAATAAGTCTTGMGTCGACTACTGCTACAAGGTAGAAAGAAATAATGGATAAACATTAGTGCAGTTCTCCGAACAAAATAATATTAAAGACTGTATTTTATATATTCGCGCGGTATGTGAAAACTGAAATTTGTTAAGATATTTATAAGTTTTGTACATTTCTGAAATAAACAATCTGTACTTTTTTATGATAAATTTCACATTTTTAGTAACGAATAGAAAAACATTCTTCCTCGGTTTCTTCACGTGTAAATCATGTACGGTAAAACTCAAGTACGTAACAATATATTTGTTTTTTTTGTATTTGTTACTTCAAACCTCATACTACCAAGATATTATTTGAACTTCATATGTTGATCTCCTACGCTATTTGGAAAATATTTTGCATATATACATTGTTAAAAGTAAGTGTGTCGGGGTYATTTAAAAATAAAAAAAAATRTCATTACTTATATCTCCAGAAAGAAGAAATTTTCGTCGCCGTAATCAATAAGGGAAATCAACAGTATGTACTGACTAACTTATTTCTTATTTTTTACCTCCAGTCGAAAACTACCCCAACTTGGTACTTTCAAAGAATAAATTTAAAATGAAACTCATTTTAGCTTTTTAATCATACAAATAAACTAGTCAACAAAATAAATGTAAAATGGAGAAATCTGGACTTTTTGGAATTTTCAAACCTGATAAATTCTGATTGATGCAAGCAAATTGATTTCTGTTTGAAGGGTTATTGAAGGGTTCTGTATGAAGGGTTGTGCGATTATTTTCCTTCCAGTGATTAGTTTTGCAAAAAATTGTGCTGCAGATAACGTTTCTACAGCGTGGTAAAAGAAGCAATGTAAAATTGTTGAAAGTTACACATGCTCGTAGTTAGGCAAAAAAACGATTGCTCCCATTTCAACGACACATACATTAAGATAGGCCTAATATCTCGAAACTGTTTGCGAATTTTTCTCCCAACTCGGTTATTTACGGAGTGGTCTCAAAAAATAAACTTTTTCGCCTTGCTGTAATAATTATTTCCTTTTTATTCGATTAGGAAAACCTAAGGCTCCTGTTGTAGCTTACAACTTTGCTGTTGACTTGAAAAAATTATTCTACTATACATGGTTGCATGAATGAACGAAATATTTGAAAATAAACTTCATCTTAGTTGAAAGTCTACCAGAATCACAGATTTCAGAGGAAATTCTGATTTGAGTCAATTTTCATGCAACCCTGTGTATTGAATCTTCATCTTAGGTTGTCTATGAAGTTTTAGCTTCCACATGAGCGCTAGATCGTGCAAATCGGGAAAAGAGCAAAAAGGTTCAACAAAAAGAAGAGATGGTCGCAAAATTCAAAAAACCTTTCTTGCTATTTGCTTTGTTTTTAAATTTTTAGTGTCAGCACTGAAAATATTGGTTTTTCTTAACGAAAATTTTACATTTTTTTGCCGCCCTGTAGAACATTTATCGGAAGTGCTTCATTCTTACCAGAACATTCACTAACCGAAAACAAATGGGGCTAAATAACTCCTTCAATAGAAACCAAATCAGTTTGAACTATTATTGAAATAATTATTAATGAAGTAATATAGAATGCTAATTGTTCACAGAAACAACTGTTCAAAAGGGTTTTTCAATTCCTGATGATCACTAGCCAACGTTTCTGCAATTGAGTCAAGTTTTGTTTTAAAATGGGAGGGTATGCAATGATCGTGTTTAGGATAAAGTTAATACAGCAGCCTTATCTGTTTTTAATGGCTGAACCATTTAGAATGGCGTAGATTCGTAAGTGTCTTTGTGCTAAGAACTAATAACTATGGTGTGGGTGCAAGTGAGTATAACGGCTAATAAGCTATACAAAAGAGATCAAAAGTAAAAAAAGCTACAGAAATTATGATGCAATATATATGCAAATAGGAATTTTTTTAATATTCCTATAGGTTCTAGTGAGATTTTGAGTTGAAAACATCAAAATGCTTTACGGTCGGTCATTTACGAGCTAATTACCGGCATTACTTATAAAAAGGTTTCACGTCGAGGCGAGAGTACGAGGAATATAAATTGTCTTGATTTTCCCACTGTTTCCCCCCGAGGGCGCATAGTTATAGTATGAGTTTCGTTAAGACGTCCCCTCCTTTTGGCCACTGTATTTTAGGGTTGAATTTCCATGTTCCCGGCAAACAGAAGGTTGGCTGTAGTTGCTGCCGTTACAGTTTCCAGCTATCGACCGGAGGCCCGGGGCGCACTCGCGTATAGACGCATTTGTTAAAATGGCTACCCGCTTTTCCCCCTTTTCCATGTTATTGGAGAATTTGTTTTAAGTAGCCGGCTGCTGCTGTATATTTGTCAGATTAGTTCAATGCCCGTTTATTTGCCAGGGCTTTAACACCACTGCGTTTTGGTTATACTCGTATACGTGAGACCAGCAAAATATCTCGCATAAAAAAATGAGGCTGGAAAGAAAATTCTTCCATTTTAAATGTTTTACTCTCTATTTTTAAGTCCCAAAATAACGTCTTCTTAGCCTGAAAGGATTTCATTCTATAAAGTTTTCAATTAAGTATATTTCCAACGCATCGCAGACAAGGAGTTTTAAAAAATATCGATTTTTCGATTGATTTAAAAAATTGGTAAAAGTTAAATAGATCCGAAAGTTAATAGATTCCGAGGAACAGGGTCTCAAGGTCTAAATATATTTTTTTAAATATATATTTAACCAACCTTTTACTTTCTTCTTTCTTTCCTGGCTTCACAACGATCGATCCATAAATGTAAAAATATACAACAGTTTTACTATTTACAATATTACAAATTTCTTATTACTTGACTTGTAGTTGACTCTAGAGGACGCTAGCTGCAGTAGTCTGGAGCCATTTAAAACATTGCTTTTTTTACTATTTGCGAAATCTATACTTGGTTCAAGTCGATATTCCTAGGATTTTTTTGAACTAACTCAAATCGGATCCCTATCATTGTAGTAAATTGACATATTTTAAGTTGACCACAGACAAGTTTTTGAATTTATTGAAAATGCCCCCACATTACTTATTTTCATATGAAGAAATATGTTTTCTGTTTATCTTCCGACTTCCGAAAAAACTTATTTGTTTTCACAAAAATCATTTACTAAAAGGGTTAAAAGTGGGAGGAGTTCAGGTTGAACAATTAAAATGACATGATAATTGTTTAAAGAGTCGTTTAAAATAGATTTTAACGTGCCTAAATAGATGCAGTTTAATGTTTAACAAATATGTATTTTATTTAGAGATCTTGAAATTTTTTTTACTTATGAGCCGCCCATTTTTTGAATTAGATCGTCTTTAGATGGCTTTTCGTTGCATAACAAAACGGGTTTTCAGAAACGTTTTTCCAATTAAAATTTTTCATTTTAAACCCTTTTTTCTAATTTCAAATTTCAAATTAGAATTGAATTAGAAGCTTCAATAAAATATTTTCTTATTTTATGCATTGAACCAAATCGTCTTATTTCAACCAAATATAATAAACTTTTTCAAAATATCCGCTAATTAACTAAACTATGAAGATTCAAAATACATAGTTACATAAACATATATCGTAGTAGAAAATGTATTAGATATGGGAAAATTACAAGAAATATATTTTTTTAGTTTTGAAGTCGAATTGATGCTATTGGAAATAATGAACCGAATAAAACGTACGAAGCAATTTTTTTTCTAAGTGCGTAAACATAATGTTTAACACAATCAAGGGCGAACTCGGCATTCAAGTCAGGAGGGTCTTGTAATAGAGATTCGGTCAGGACAAGTCAGAATTAAAAAAGTATTGTATTGTTATATGTCGTAGGCATTTTAATTAAACAGCAAAATAAATGTTCTTCTATTGTCTTCTCACAAAAGAAGTTATGATTTCTTCCACTTCAGTCGGTAAAAATCAATTTTTTCATTATTGCTTTTCGCTGGTTGTTATGAATACTTCCTGACGCCACCTTTTTTTAACAATATTATAATTATAATAACAAAATTATAATCTCTCATTTCATATACTTTTAGATGTGTAAGAAAACTACATTAACTAAAAGTACATTAATATGGTGAAAAGCAATGTAAACTAATATTTAAAAAAAATTGCTTGCTTAAAAGTCGACATATTTCTCTGTTTTCGAAATATTTTTAATTTAAACTTCTAGTGTTTTTTTGAACTAGTGAACCCAAATTGGATATATAATTAAAATAAATTTGCTATTTACATTTGAAAAAAAAACATTAACTCAAGAACGTTTAACATTACGTAATTATTTACGCACGTTAAGAACTACTGTAAACTATTTTTTCAACTCAGCAAAGCATTCGAAATTGGAAAATTATTATTTCATAAGAAATGGTCAAAATTAACTGATCTGACGTCGATTAACACACGATTACTAACGCTTTTAATAAAATACTGTTGTAATAAAAAAATACAAATTCTGTTTCGGTCTTCTGCAGCATTTAAAATTATCTTGTGCATAAATACATGGTTTGTGTTTATGCACATATATATATATATATATATATAACAATAAGAAGAACCTGGAAGTTCACTTACTAATATTAATTTAAGCTTATTCAGAGACATTTTCACATATTGATTATATGTATTACTTTCAAATAAAAAAATCCAGTTCGTCCTGCTTCCATATATAAAACTGTTTTCCACTTTAAAGTCTTGATTTTTGTAAATAGCCTGCTTGATGTAACGTCAGGTAGAACTATCAATTTACTTTGAAATCCGAATAAAGTTTTTCCGCATAGGTTATCTGTTGGTTATTGAAAAATAGCACGATTCTGAAAATTGGTCAATTTTTTTGCATTAATTTTCAAGTTTTTGTCGATTCCATACAGGCAATTCGACAGCCGGTGAGTTTTTTCCCCTGCATTCCAGTTGACTAACGGACAATACAGAGGGAACAATGGAGAGTGATTAAAAGCGCTTTATAATTAACTTCTCCGC